TAAGTGTTCTTATTAAAATTAAAGCTTTTTTTTAAATGATTTATTGGGACGCCTGGGTGGCTCAGTGGGTTAAGCCACTGCCTTTGGCTCAGGTCATGATCCCAGGGTCCTGGGATCGAGCCCCACATCGGGCTCTGCTCAGCAGGGAGCCTGCTTCTCTCTCTGCCTCTGCCTGCCTCTCTGCCTGCTTGTGGGCTCTCTCTCTCTCTCTCTCTTTCTGACAAATAAATAAGTAAAAACTTTAAAAATAAATAAATAAATACAAAAATTTAAAAAGATTTATTTATTTATTCTAGAGAGAGAGAGCACACACACAAGGCAGGGGCAGAGAGAGAGAGAGAGAGAGAGAATCCCAAGCAGAGTCCCCGCTGAGAAAAGAGCCTGATGTAGATTGAGATGAGACCCTGTGATCATGACCTGAGCCAAAAGCAAGAGCTGGGTGGTCAACTGACTGAGCCACCCAGGCCCCTCCTAAAATTAAAGTTTTTAAAAAGAATGCTAAGATGGGTCTAACTGGGTTAGAATTAATGTGTTAACATGGCTGTGTTCCCTTTTGAAACTCTAGGTATAATTTGTTTCTAGTCTTTGTGGGTGACTCTCTAGAGGTCACCCCCATTCCTTGATTTATTGCATCCTCCTTCCATCTTGAAAGCCAGTAACATTAAACTGTGTCCTTTTCACACTGCTATCTCTCTGGCTCTCTTTGTTCTGGCTCCCTCTTTTATTCCTAAGAATTGTGATATGTTGGGTCCATCTGGATAATCCAGAATAAGCTCTCTATATGTGGCAGACTGATGAGTGTCCCCCCCAAATACCTGGAATTCCTAAAACCTGTGGTTGTTACTTTTATGGAAAAAAAGGGACTTTGCATATGTAATTAAGTTAAGGATCCTGGAATGAGGAAATTATCCTGGATTATCTAGGTGAGCTAGAATCACAAGCATCCTTAAATATAATCCTTAAATATAATCACAAGCATCTTTATAAGAGAGAGACCAAGGAGATTTGACAACAGGAAGGTGAAGGAGATATGATGACAGAAGCAGAGATTGGAGAGATGTGCTTTGAAGGCAGAGGAAGTCATGCAATATAAGTAGCCACTTGCTGAAAAAAGCAAGGTATAGGACTTTCCCCTCAGAGCCTCCAGAAAGAACCAGCCCTACATTTTTTCAATCTAGCCCAGTGAAACTTATTTCATTCAGTCTTCTGAACTCCAGAACTGTAAGTGTATAAAAACTGTGCTGTTTTAAGCTACTAAATGTGTGGTGATGTGTCATGGCAGCAATAGGAAACTAATACATCATCTGAAATCTGCTGATTATCAACCTTAATTCCATCTCTAACCTTAATTTCATTTTGCCTTGAAACCTAATATATTCACAGGGTCTAGAGATTATGACACACACATCTTGTGGGGAAAAGCTTTATACTGCTTACCACAACTTGACATACATCGAAAATAAATTCTAGGTGGATAAAATATGTAAATGTCAAATAATAACTGAATATATGGGAGAATGTGTGTGTATAATCCTGGGTGTGTAAAACACCTTAAACATGACAACAAACTTATCTTTTTTAAAGATTGGTTGGCACACTTGTTTCCATCAAAAAATTTAAATTCTGAAGGTTGAATATATATTATTCAATGTATATAATACCATACACAAAGTAACAATACAAGCAACAAGCTGGCAGACATTTGTAATGTATCTAACCAAGGACTAATAGCCTCAGAGGAAAAGGAAGAAAGAAAAAGTAAGTCTCTGAATATATGAAACAGACTCATAGATGCATGTATAACTATGTTCTTTAGGGCATCCTAGACTTGTAAAAATTGAAAACATATGTCCACCAGTAGGGGAATGATTAAGTAAATGGTACACTTTTCCATATGATAGGCTATCTTCAGCAGTTTAAAAGAATAGGGGAGAATCTTTATGACCTGTAAAAATCTCCAAGACCTATTGATATTTTAGCCAGTTACAGAACAGTGCAGACTTTATGATGCATATCATATAAGGGGAGAAGCAACATGCACTAAACAAAACCACAAGTCTTAAAGGATCTCCCCCACCTTTATGAGAATATCAGCAGTTACCCCTGTGGAGCAGCAAAGGGAAACATTAGTTTTGTTCTATATGACTCGAATGCACATTCACTCATGTATAAACTGCCTAATATAGTTTAAAGCGCAGAGTTTTGTCTTGCTCATCGTTGTATCTAAGCACCTAGCTCAGTACTGCAAAGGTAACGTTTGTTTAATAACAGAAGTCCAAGGGGGTGGGACTTAACTGCTAATGCTAAATCCTATGCTGGTGAGAAGTTGGGTGGTATGCTTAAATTCTTCCTGCTTCAAGTCCAGCTTGGTCTTTCTCCGGGAACTATTTTGGGTAAACTGAAGGCTCCAGCCAGGGGAGAGAGAGAGAGAGAGAGAGAGAGTGTGTGTGTGTGTGTGTGTGTACACTAATATGTATAATAATTTTTATGTCTAATCCAGGCAACAACTCTGCAAAATAGTCACCCTTGTACCCATTTTACAAATGAGGAAACTAAGGCTTAGATAAGGCCTCACTAACTGAAATACCCTGATGTCTCTTCTTTTTTTATCTTCCTGTTAATGCAACGTTGACAGTTGCAGAATTCTTATGAAATAGAATGTGGTCAGTTCTAGAAAAACTTCCTGCTACCAGTGCTTGGCTTACTTTAATAGTTATTTATTTGTATTAGGTAGTTCAAACACTTGATTTTAAAACTGGTAGCAAATTATATTCTGTACAAAATAAATCTCCTTCCACACGGCCCCCAGCTATCCATGTCCTTCCCCTGAGGCAACACTCAACAATATTTTGCATGTCTTTCCAGAAATATTTTATGTATGAACAGCACATATACAAATATTTCTAAAATTTAATTTGAACTATTTTACATACTTTATCTTCTACCACTCTCTTTTTTTACTCTCACAATGTATCTTGAAAATCACTACATTTTTGCTAGATCTGTTGCATTCTGTTTAATAGCTATATATTATGAATATTAGGGAAGCCTCATAAATTCATTAATCCCTCCCCATTTATGGCCCTTGAAATTGTCTTATGTGTTTTGTTATTACAAAACTATAGTTACTATTCTTACACATGGGCCATTTTGCACACATATAAATGTGTCTTCAGAATAATTTCCAGAGATAGAATTACTGAATCAAAGAGATGTCCCTGTAAATTTTTCATCAGTACTGCTGATTTTTCTCTGTGGTTGTTATATAAATTTATCCCCTTCAGCAATATTATCCACACTCTGACACAACAAAAACACTTTGCACAAGAGAAAAAGAATGAAAAGAAAATTGATCTTATTTGCATATAGGCTTATTTTTAACCTTGCCCAGGGGTTGGTAACACAGTTACATCAAAGACCCATTTCCTGGGACAGTACTACCTTCTAACTGAAATTGTGAAATCGAGTCCCTTCTCTTTCTTTTACTTTATACATGATTGATCTACTTCATTCAGGATGGGCATGGAAATTATTAATTCTATTCTTCCGTATAGCAGAAAACTCTGCTTTGGGGCTGACTGGTCCCTCACAACCCTGGATCACTTTCTGATTGCACATTCCAGAAGTATCCACCTTTGGTTCAGTGGTGGACCCAGTGGACAACTGCCCCTTTCTAAGAACTATTTATTTGAGGTACTTTCCCTGGCAACAAAAGATATACAGTCTCCCATTTCTCTCTTCCCTCCTTTCATCAATCTCATTTCAAAGATCCTTAGGAAAACATTTTATTTGATTATTGTTTAGCTTTATGCAAAGTAGTTTTCTCAGTTTCCCATCTATATAGATTCCTTGATGTGTTAGGCCAAATTTTATTTTGCCTTACTGTTCCTATCTAAAGCTTGAGAGTATGGCAACTAATAAAAACTTTTTACATGTTAGGGATGCCTGGGTGGCTCAGTCATTTAAGCGGCTGCCTTCAGCTCCGGTCATGATCCCAGGATCCTGGGTGCCAGCCCTGCACTGGGATCCCTGCTCGGCGGGGAGCCTGCTTCTCTCTTTGCCTCTGCCTGCCACTCTGCCTGCTTGTGCTTTCTCTCTCTCTGAGAAATGGATAAATAAAATCTTTAACAAAAAAACTTTTTACATGTTAAAATAGCTTTAAAATAGTATAGAGATTTATCAGACTTGGTTACTTAGAAGTTGGGTTAGAAGAATCCTCAGATTTATTTCCTGGGTTGCTAACTTCGTATTTCATCTGTAACAACAGTTTTCACACCTAAGCCAGTGAAAACAATAAAAAATCAGTCCATTAAATGATTTATAATGAGAGGAACACGATTTCTCTCTGTCTTTCTCTTTCTTAATCTCCAATAAAGAGAAAGCACTGGGTGCTTGGGTGGCTCAGCCTGTTAAGTGCTTTGTGCTCAGGTCCTGGCATCCCAGGGGCATGGGACCAAGGCCCACATGGGGCTCCTTGCTCAGCGAGGAACCTGGTTCTCCCTCTGCCTACCGCTCCTCCTACTTGTGCGCTCGCTCGCATGCTCTCTCTCTCTCTCTCTCTCTCTCTGACAAATAAATGAAATCTTTGAAAAAGAAAGAAAAAATACTATCACTAGCTGCTTCTGGGTAGAACATGTTGATTTGTTTTCTTAGTCATTAAAAATTATCTTTGGTGATCTTTACCAAATCAAGAAGGCTCAGCTTGGTTAGGGAACAGGTATGGTTTTAGTCTGTTAATAATTTTTTCCCCTGCAATAGGGAGAAAGGACTCTCTCAGGGGAGAACTAGAACAGAACATAGGAAGACTTATGACCACCACATATACCTCCTGTTTTGTTTTTAATCTTTCTTTTGAGATGATGAGCCCTTTACTCCTATTGCCTAACACAGTGTATGGCATACAACAGATACTCAGTGATTATTTCTGGAATGAATTAGTGAATGGGAAAATTACTTACAGTGAGAATACTTCACTATCTCTCCTTCAGATCTCACATACATTTTTTTTTCCTAGTAAACAGGAGTGCAAGTACGATCTGGAGCGGCTACATCATCCATCTAAATGGAGACAGAAGTTAGGGACTGACCGTTCTCAGAAAAACTGTTCAGAGAAACTTTAAAGATAACTTAATCTCAAAAGAGTAGTCCAAAGAGAAAACGTTTAAGAGCTATTTTCTCAGACTTGTGAGAAACAGTTTTCTAAAACCAAATTATCTACAGATAGGACTGTGGCAACGCCCAAGTCTTGTGTCCGCTATTTGATGAAAAGAGGACTGAGAATTCAGAAAACGGTCGTTCAAACAATGCATTTAAAGAAAAGCTCGAGTAGGAAAAACGGTGGCTTATGCTAATGAAGTATTCACTTAAAAATATGTTTATTTGCGGGGCGCCTGGGTGGCTCAGTGGGTTAAAGCCTCTACCTTCGGCTCAGGTCATGATCTCAGGGTCCTGGGATCGAGCCCCACATCGGGCTCTCTGCTGAGGAGGGAGCCTGTTTCCTCCTCTCTCTCTCTCTCTCTCTCTGCCTGCCTCTCTGCCTGCTTGTGATTTCTCCGTGTGTCAAATAAATAAAGTCTTTTTTTTAATTTAAAAAAATATGTTTATTTGCTTATTTACTTGAGTGTTATGGCTTAAACCAGGGCTGTGAGACCTGAAACGGAGATGCAAGAGGTGGGGAGCCAGCCCTTCGCACCCGGCCGCTTGGGGGTGCGCGGGGCCCAGGTTAGATCACCGCCGCTTTACGTCTTAGAGGCGTGGCCGCGTCCAGGACCGTTTCCCGGTTCCCAGTTCGCCGGGGCCAGGCTGCGCTCCAGCCTTAGCTTAAAAATGCTGCAGTCCAGCACCGCCTTTTCTGTTTTATCTTTGTTCCCTGCCCGCCCGCCCGCTCCCCTGCTCCCCTCACCCTTACACACCCCACGGCTGGTTGGCTCGGACATTTGGTCGGTTACCACGGGAAAGCCCCTGTCTCAGCGCGGAGCTGCGGTCTTGCTGCCGCGCCTCGCTCTTTTTTCTTCCTCTCCCATTCTCGCACCTTCCTCTCTTTCCCCCTCTCTTTCTTTTCTATCCATGGAAAGTTGACCTCGCGTTTCTCAAACGCACCTATGCGACCTCACCTATGCGACCCAGGCCCACGCCGAAGCTTCACTCCCAGATCCCTCCGCGAAGGCGCGGGCGGGCGCGCGGGCGGGGGCGTGCGCGCGGGCGGGCGTGCGCGCGGGTGGTGTGCGGGGAGACGCGCACGTGGAGCCTCGGCGAGCTCGCGGCCCCAGCGGGCCTCGGAGGGAAGCGCAGCCTGACCTGAGGGCCCCCGGGGCTTCCGAGTAGGCGCCAGTGCAGTTCCTGAGGCGCCCACGCCACAGCGGAGCCTGCTGGCTAAGGGTAGGAGAGTGACTCTGTGTCTGTGTATGTGTGTATGTGTGGGTGGGTGTGGGGACTCGCGGACGCGCACGCGCGCGCAGGACAGTTGAGTAAGGAGGAGTGAGCTCCTACAATCCGGAGGAGCGGGAGGAGGAGAAGGAAATGTGGGAAACATTTGAAGGGACATAGCTTAATATCAGAGCTAGATATATTCAGAGAAGTGGTGAGGGGCAGATACCCACATGGTGGTAAGGTCAGTAGTGGGGCACTGAATCACAGTCAGGCGGGATGTATGGGGGAAGGAACTTGGCCCATGAGAAGCAGTTGGCCATTTTACTCTAATAGAAAACAAAAAATAGTGACATCAGTGCAAATAGAAGGGTTGGAAGCGCCAAGAGCCCATCCCTAAACAGAAGCACCAAAAAGATCAGCGTCAGAATTGACTTTGTGGGAACTCTAGAAAGTAGTTGCAGGTTTGCAGCAACCCAGGAACTCTTGATCAAGAAAAAGAGGACTTAAACACAGCATAATGGGGACATCACTAGCAACCTTAAAGGAATAAAAGAGATCATAAAACTATGAACAATGTATGCTAACAAACCTAAATAAAACAGATTCCTTAGAAGCAGACAACCTACCTAAACTGACTCAAAGAAAAAAAAAGGGGGGGGGGGATGCGAACAGACTTATAACAAAAGATTGAATCAGTCCTCAAAACTTCCTGACTGAAGAAAAGTCCAGGACCAGATGGCTTCACTAGTGACATGTATCAAATGTTTAAAGAACAATTAACACCAGTCCTTCTCTAGCTCTCCTAAGAAATAGAATATTGAACACTATCTAACTCATTTGATAGGGCCAACATTACCCTGATACCAAAATTGGGCGAAAACATTGCAAGAAAAGAAAACTATAGACCAATACCCCTTGTGGATATAGATTAAAAAAAAAAAAAAACCCTCAACAAAGTCTTTGCAAACCAAACCCAACAGAATGTTAAAATAATTACACACCATGATCAAGTGAAATTTATCCCAGAAATGCAAGGCTTTTACATATAGAAGTCAATCAATGTAATATATTAATAGAATGAAGAAAAAAACATACCATCATGTCAATACAGAAAAAGAATTTGAGAAAATCCAACACTCTTTCATGATTTAAAAAAAAAAATTCAACAAAATAGGAATGAACAGAACTTTTTCAATCTGATTGAAGGCACTTTTGAAAAAACTGTAGGCTGACATCATAATGGTGAAAGAGATTTCCTGCTAATATCAGGCAACAAGAAAAGAATGCCTGCTTTTGTTTCTTCTGTTCAAAGTTTTACAAGCAACATTGTCCTGAAAGTTTTAAACCTGAGAAATTAAGCAAGGAAAAAAAGAAATGAGGCTTCCACATTGGAAAGAAATAAGTAAATCTATCTTTCTTTGCAGATATCATGATCTTATATGTAGAACATCCTAAAGAATCCACTAAAAAACTATTAGGGTTAATAAGCAGTTTTAGTGAGGCTGCAGGATAAAAGACCAACACTGCAGAATCAGTTGTATTTCTATACATTAGCAATGAACAGTCCAAAAAGATTAAGAAAACAATTCAGTTTTCAGTAGCATCAAAAAGAATAAAATAGTAATAAATTTAACCAAACATGTGCAATACCTGTGCACTGAAAATATGAAACATTGCTGGAATTAAAGACTAAATGAATGGAAAAACATCCTATGTTCATGATTTGGAAAACTTAATATTGAAAGATGGAAGACCCAAAATGATCTACACATACAATGCAGTCTCCATGAAAATCCAGTGTCTTTTTTTTTTTTTTGGTAGAAATGGGAAAGCTGATCCATAAATGTGTGTAGAATTGCAAGGGACCCTAGATACAAGCTTAAAACAGATTAAAATAATTTTGAAAAAGAACAAAGTTGGAGTACTCACAGTTCTCATTTTCAAAGCATACTAGAAAGCTAAAGTAAAATAGTGTAGAACTGACATAAAGACAGACATACATTTCGTGGAATAGAACTGAGAGTCTAAAAATAAGCCAATAATACCTCTATAGCAATTGATTTTTGACAAGGATCCTAGATCATTCAATTGGCAAAGAATAGCTTCTTTAACAAATGGTGCTAGGACAATTGGATATCCATATGAAAAAGAATGAAGTTAGAGTCCTACCTCATACAATAGGGGGAAACATACTCAAACAAAATTAAAGTTTTTTGTGCATCAAAGGACACTATCAAGAAAGTGAAATGACAGCACATAGAATGAGAGAAAATATTTATAAATCATATGTTTGATAAAGGTCTAATATCCATAATATACAAAGAACACTTACAACTTAAGAACAAAAAGAAAAACAACTCAATTTAAAAATTGGTAAAGGACTTGAGTAGACATTTCTCCTGAGAAAATATGTGAATGACCAATAAACACATGAAAAGATGCTCAACATCTATGGTGATTAAAGAAATGCAAATTAAACCCACAATTAGATCCCACTTTATACCCACTAGGATGGCTTCTACAAAAAAAAAAAAAAAAAAACAGAAAATAACAAATGTTATTGAGGATATGGAGGTATTGGAACCCTGGTATATTGTTGTGGGAATATTTAATGGTGCAGCTCCTGTGGAAAACAGTTTTACAGTTCCTCAAAAAGTTAAACACAGTACTATTACATGACAGTCATTCTACTCTTAGGGATATGCCCCAAAGAATTGAAAACAAGTATTCAAACAAACACTTGTATATGAATATAGTACTGGTCACAACAGCTAAAAGGTGGAAATGACCCAAATATTCATTATGAGATGAAGTAAGTAATGGAATACTAGTCAGCCATAAAAAGGAATGAAGTCCTGGTACATGCTACAACATGGAAGAACAGCAAACACATTACGCTAAATGAAAGAAGCCAGACACAAAAGGCAACATACTGTATGCTTCCACTTATACGAAATGTCCAGAATAGATAAATCCATAGAGACAAAAGATTAGTGGTGCCCAGGTCTTGAGGACAGAGAGGATTTAATGAGTATGCTTAACAGGTATAGGGTCTCCTTTGGAAGTGATCGAAATGTTTTGAAACTAGATAAATGGTGATGGCTGCACAACATTGTGAGTTTATTAAATGCCACCAAATTGTACAGTTTAAGATTATTAATTTTATGTTATATGAATTGCACCTTGAAAAATAAGTCATGGAGTTATGGTACTGCAGAGGAGGCAGCATGACCTCAGCAGGGTCTCAGCTGAAGTTGGAGCCATGTCCCTCCCCCTGTTGTGGTAGAGAAGCTGGAGCTGCTTTTGGTTTGGGTGGTGGTCAGTAGCTACTTCACAGCCCTCTGGAGCCACTGTGGGGGAGTTTCCAAAAGCTGGGCGGGGCATGGTTGGGGGCAGTTCAATCAAACCCCCAAGCAGGCTGCGGAGCCTGGTTTTGTGGTTGTGGACCACGCTGTGCTGGGTCTGTCACATGCTTGCTGCAGAGCTTAGGGCAAAATATCCCAAACCTTGAGAGGCTCAGCTTCTACAGCCAAGTAACTAGTGTGAGTCTGTCAGTCTGAGGTCTCCATAGAGTTTCTCTTCACCAAATTTTTACCCCATTTCATCCATCTTAAGACCCAGCTCTTGACATTTTATCATCTGAAATCCAGAAGTCATAACAGTCCATGCTGTGTACTCTTACTTCAGCCTACATGTATCTTTTGGGAAAAAAATACTAGCTTCCAGTCAGTGAAATTGGTGTTAAAATGTGTAGTCATGTGTTAATTGATGTCTTTCTCCTCCCTCCTCATGGTGAGGTTCCATAAGGGGTGCTCCATAAATGTTGGCTGAATAAATGAGTAAACAAAATAACACTTTTTTTTTTTTTTAAGTGAACCTCGGCACTACGACTTGATGGCCGTTTGACACAGGAAAGGCCATGTAACCCATTTAAGTTTCGGATCCGTAGTTCGCTAAATGTCTGTAATAACAGCAGTGTCCTGCCGGGTGCGAGGCTGGAAAGAGGAACTGCCGACAGAGGCCTAAAGGACTTGTTCCAGAAGATTCCAGCCCAATAATAAAAAGGTAGAAACAGTGTTGATTTTTTTTCTTTTATAACAATGTATAAATGGAAATACAAATGGAAATTTAGGGGGCGAATTAGGCAGATTTATCTGAAGCAGTCTACAGTTTAAAAAGCTTTATTTGATAAATGCCAATTAAGGCCAGCAAGGGTGGGGTGGGGTAATTCACTTTGGTTGATTGAAGATCAGACCATTTTGAGGTGTCTTTAGATCTCAATCATTCTTGAAGTCCTGGCTGTCTGCAGATGGCAGAAAGAAAAAACACATTAGAAACTAGAAATGTACGACCTATCCCTCCTTCCCCTCTTGATCTCCCCCACCTGATATTACGACGCTTACGAGCAAGGTTCTCAGCCGGCTTCGCTGGCCTCTAATCCAGGTCCACCACCCCTCAGCACAGGTCTGTCCATGAAGGCTGGACCTTGCCAGCCGCCCGCCTCCCCAACCCCGCCGATAGCGCATCGCGTCCACTGCGCGGCTGGCGAAGCTCGCCGAGCTCCGGGCCCGCCGGGCGAGGGCAGGCAGGGCGCGGCCACGCGGGGCCAGCGGGTTTGCGACAGGGAAACCCAGGTATACAAGGCGTGCTGAGGGCATGCCACACACAGTGCCAGGCGCCGGCCATGGAAATGCCGCCTGGCTTTGCGCCTATGGGCAGGCGTCTCTTGCACCTGGCGCGGAGCGACTCAGCGACACGCGTAAGCTGAGGGCCCCTGAGGCGCCGGAGCGGCGGGGCAGTATAGGAACATTGGGCTCCAGTCCTGTCGTCTTTCTCCCCAGGGTCCTCCGCCCGAACCCGCTAATGGCTTTCTAAAGTTTCTCAGACAAAATCCACGTTTCGACCTAACATCCTTTCTTTGACCTTCCTCTCTGATGGCGCTGTGTGCACGCTCCAGCCCTCCTTTCTGTCCTCGCAAACCGCCAGGCTTTGCCCTTGAGAGTGTGTAGGCTTCCAGTAGCTAATCTCTTTTCATCAGTCAGGCTCTCTGACCACTCTGAGCCCCTCTTCCCGTGCAGACTTCACTCGTATCCGTCACATTGGTCTTAACAAACTAAATTTTTGAAAATACGTTTATTGCTTAAAGTATGTTTCCCAGAATGTAAGCTCTATGAGGGCAGGATTCCTGTTTTGTCTCATTTACTTTAAGTCCCATCTAAAATGGAGCTGATTATGTAGTTGGATAAAGAGGAGGAAGGAGGGAGGGAGGGTAAGGTAGGAAGAAAGGAGTGGACGGACTTGTGTGCTTGGGTCAGATCTCCTAGTTTTGCTTATAAAGGGTTACTCTCTCTGCCTGTGGCCCAGTTAGTCCACTAATCCTTCTCGACTCTTCAGCTCCTCCCCTTCTTGTTCCGCGCAACCGGCGCTATGATTGGTCCCTTGCCCTGCACTGTGTTCCGAGGCAAACTGCAGTTGGTGGAGAGGGAGGGTGGGCAGGCCAAAGGAGATCGAACTTCCCACGCCGAAAGCGCAAAACTCGCTGCCTCTCTGGTCTAGGGTTCAGAGCGAGCTTCTTCCCTGTGAACTCTCAGGCCCTACTAAGGCCCAGAGGGTCTAGTGCCCCAATTCTGAGCCCAAATGGGATAGATCTTGGAATCGTCAAAGTCACGGTTTACCTTAAATATCGTGTTAATTTCATATATATGAAATAGTTCTCCCTTCAGAAAAAAATCAGTAAAGTTGGTACTTCGGACAAGTAGGAGTGGAGGTGGAGAAGGGGTGCCGCAAGAGAAGAAGGCAGCTTTGTGGTTGTAGAAGGAGAAAGCAAAGAGGATCACATGGCCATCTCCCTTTCTCAGCGATCTCTCTCGAAGAGAGGATAAAGCTTAAGAGAGGGTCTCTGTTTCTCAGAGAATGTAGCAAATCCCCGTGTACAGACTGCCAGGGTTGGAGAGGACTCTCTCCCTTGGGCAGCTCTGGAAAACAACACCGCATAGAGTAGAGGGTCAGATTTAGTCAAATTTTGCAGTAGAGTTGGGGGTGATGGATTTCTGCCAGACGATGCCACACGCAAATGCTTGTGGGGTTGGTCCAGCTACCTGGGTATGCTAATGTAGAAACCGAGGGTAGCTGAATGGATGCTGCTGCCAGCTAATTTGGAGGAAGAGGGGCCACTAGACCCTAGTCTCCTGAGTCGTCAATATTACACAGCCTAGGGCTTGAACCTGGGGGATGGTGAGTGTTTGCGGGAATAGGGGCACAATTTCTGGGATGGGCTTAAACTTGTGGAAATCCATCTAGGCTATTTCCTGTCCGCAGCCCAAGCGAGGCAGTCCATTGGGACAGTGGAATTGTCCTACAGGGTGGCAGCGTGAGAGCTGAGGCGAGACCCAAGACCTTGCTTTCCCGGAGCCAAGGTTCTTTTCTGAAAAAGAAGTCCAGTGGGTTGCAGAAGCTCTCTGAGTTTCAACTCTTAAATCTGCCACCTCACCTGCAGGACCTTCCGCAACCTCCGTATGGGAGTGGCTACCACCTTCGGTGGCCCCCGCGGCTGCGCCCAGGTACCGGGCGACAGCGCGGTGGCCCCGCTCCTCAGCCAGGTCCACGGGCAGGCGGCCCCAGGCATCGCGCACGTCCAGCCGCGCCCCGGCTCGGTGCAACACGAGGAGCGTGTCCAGGAAGCCCTCTCGGGCCGCGTCGTGCACAGGTCGGGTGAGAGTGATGGGGTCCGCGCGGTTGGGATCGGCGCCGTGGAGCAGCAGCAGCTCGGCCACGCGGGTGTTGCCCATCATCATGACCTGCCAGAGAGAGCAGAGTGGTCAGGGCAGGGGCGGGTGGCAGGGGCAAGAAAAAAGAAGCTAGGGTGCCTGGGTGGCTCGGTGCGTTAAGCCTCTGCCTCCTGCCCAGGTCATGATCTCAGGGTCCAGGAATCAAGCCCCACATGGGGCTCTCTGCTCAGCAGGAAGCCTGCTTCCCCCTCTCTCTCTGCCTGCTGCTCTGCCTACTTGTGATCTCTCTCTGTCAAATAAATAAATAAAATCTTAAAAAAAAAAAAAAAGAATAAAGAAGCTATTTGTGAAGCCTACACCCCGTGCAGATGCCCAGTACAAGCCACAGGTATCTAGTTACTCTATTTGCTTTCAGTTACCAGCTCCCTTAGCCAGTTCTCCTACTCATTCCATTTTTCTATACACACTGAATTCCATTATATTCTCCAAACTTTTGCGGAGTTCCAACCACACACACAACATTGCCAGAGTCAAAGACAATAACAAAAGGGTGAGAGACAAACTGGCTTCTAAGCCTAACCTCCTGTATTTCCCCTCTCATTTTGATACAAAATTATGTAAGGCCCAGAGATTTTATATGGTTTTCTGCTGTATATCCAAGCCCAGAACATGGTAAACGTTTAAAAGTGAAAATGAAAACAACAACAGACCTTTAAATTCTTATAAAACTTTTAATTTACACTTAGCTTCCCAAAACGTTGAATTCTGACCAGCCCTCAAATTCCTTCTTGTGGTAAGCTAAATAATGCTCCCAAAGATGTCTACTAACTCACACTTGAAAGCTGTAAAAGAGACTTGGCAGGTGTAATTAAATTAAGTATTTTGAAGAAGATTAATGTGAATTGTCAGGATGGGCCCAATGTAATCATAAGTTTCCTTATAAGAAGGTTACAGAAAAAAGAACTAAGAATGGAGGTCAGAGAGAAGATGCAGGGGCCATGAGCCAAGGAATGCTGATGGTCACTAGAAGTTGGAAAAGACAGGGAAACAGATTTCCCCCTAGAACTTACAAAAAAAAAAAAATGCAGCCCTATGGATCCATTTTAGACTATGGACCTCCAGAACTATAAGATGATAAATTTATGTTGGTTTGAGACACGAAAGTTGTGGTAATTTGTTACAGCAGAAATAGGAAACTAAGAAACTTCCCAAGTTTAACTCCGAGATCAAACAGGAGGTGCTCCCCTCATTTTGTTCATAAATCATCTTTGAAACAAAGTCATTACCAAAGGGGAATTTTTAAATAGTATCCACAATCACAGCAACCTTAAAATTTGAGTGTTGCATGGTGGATAGTAAAGATAATTCTTTTTTAGGTCAACCATTATTAGATGATATTAGCTAGACAACAGTGACTGTATAAAGAAAAATTCCTTATTTTTAACTACATTCTACATTAAACATGAATTATTTAATTTCTCTAAACCAAGGAGACATATTAAGTTATACTATTGTGGTTGATTCTTGTCCTAGAGAAAGTGAAACTGATTTAATTTTCAAAAAGAGAGAAAATATAAGTGAACCAAATTACAGATACAAAAATATAAACTATTGCAGTGGTTTAGAACAATTCATTGTTTTAAAAGAAAAACTTAGTCCATTACTTATTTATGCAAGACTTCTAATAGATTATGGTGTCAGTTTCTAGAACAAAGGGACCACGCCCAAGGATGCCATAATCTTGGGAGCTGTAAGGCAAGTGCCAGAGTTAGAAAACTCATGTCTAAAACCTCTTCTTAGAAGTCAACCTCCATGTCTATGTATAATGCAGATGAAAATATAATAGATGACACATTTTTTGAATCCAATGAAATACTTCATCATTTAACTGATTTTACAGGTTTTCATTATATTTTTGCAGTATTAAAGTATGAAAGGAAACATTTAAATATTTTAATAACAATCCAAAGCAAAAAGAAGAAAATCAATTAAATGAATTTTTGTAGAGTGCTTAAATCCATTTGGTAAGATATTAACTTTTATTAAAATTTTCTATAAACTAATTAGTTTTATATTAAACACAAGTTTGGTTAGAATTCTAAACCAAAATCATGACCCCTTTTCTCTATGTTCTTATCTTCCCTAGTTTAAAAAAAATTTGTTAAAACTAATTATCCAATTCTCTTTTTTTCTTTTTGTATTTAAACACATGAAGTCTCTTCTAACATATTCCAGAACTTCAAGGTTAAACTCACAGTCTCCAAGCAAAATTTTAGGGAAATTAGTAATCATGCATGCGTTCTTTTTAAAGGACTCATGCTTTTCTTCTACCATCACACGATCTCTCTCCTCTCAAAATCTTTTCACACTTTAAATCCCAAATAATCTCAGACTTTAAGGCATTTTGGTTTTATTTTTATATCTGTATTTTAAAGTATAAAATTTATCCTATGTAGCATAGAGTCAGGAAAGGAAGATTGACTTGTGAAATCCGTGAAGCTGCAGGTACAGTTTACTTTCCTTTGTCTTGTTATGCTGGAATTTGTGCAGTAAGCCTTTGTTTCACATACATTTAATTTTTCAGAATCAGAAATCACTATCGACACTGGGAATAAAACTAGGGTGGTGACTGCCAAGAAGAAATCGTTTTTTTAGCCTGGATTTAGGAAGTTAGTGAAGGCAAACAACCACCACAAATAATAAACATCCCCCACCTCCACTCCTATAAACAACTGAAGTGAGGAGGGGAGAAACGACATTTTTGAACAGTGAGGAATTGAAAACTCTGTCCCAAATAAGTTAATCTATAGCAAGAAAGTAAAAAATAAGAAAAATAATAGGAGATACCTTTAAAATGGTAACTAAGTTGACATTATTTCAGGCAAGATCACACAAATGTTTTTCTTCATGTATATCTGTCTGTGTTACCAAAATTCTTAGAACAAGCATATATTTTCCTTACTCGGTTAAAGTAAAAATAAACACAATATATAGTTGCTTCTGGATAATTTCAACTGATGTTTATTCAATTTACACGGCAGAAGGTTTCCATTGCAATCTACTCGCCCCCCCACCACCACCACCACCACCAAAGGCAGATGATCAGCTCCCTTCGGGGATCTTTGAGTTCCGGGCTAGTGGGCCAAACAAACCTTCCATTCTTTAAAATCTTGCTTTTTACCGCAAACTTTCGCAACCGTGTATCAGATAAAGAACATACCTCGGACAGTATTAACACGAGTAGGTTCACGCCCCCCCACCCCGATCTCCATACCATTCTAGGGATCTTCACCCCACGTGCCTCCTCATTTTGCTCTGTGGCTTCCTAAGCCCCCAGGACGTGGACACGAGGAGGTCTCGGCTCCAAAGTCCACCTGAGAACTCACCAAGAAGTCTCCCCTTCACGGAGAATCGAAACGCTGGCCTGGTTCCAACTCTCTTACAAACCTTGTGCTCCAAAGTCGCCCGCCGTTCCCCCTCCTCCGGCAGGGCGGCTGGCTCACCCACCTGAATCGGGCTCCGACCCTGGCGGTTCACCGCGTTGGGCTGCACCCCAGCCTCGAGCAGCGCCCGCACCTCGTCGGCCCGGCCCCGGGCTGCGGCCGTGGCTAGCCTGTCTGCGGAGGGCTCCATGCTGCTCCCCGGCGCTTGCCCCCCTGGCTGGCTCCCTCCCTCCTTCCCTCCCCTCCGCCGCACTCGGGCGCCAGTGGCCCGCCCCAGCCTCGCGTGACCAGCCCGCCCCTCCTCTCTCCACCTCCGGGACCGGCGGAAGCCACCCCCAGACTCTTGCCCCCTGGAGGAGTCCTGCGGGAGTCTTCCCATCCCGGAGAGCGCCGTTCTGCTCCCCCGAGGAGGCGCCCTTCGCTCTGAACTCGCTGTGAACGTGAAGCCCGCCCCCCCCCCCCGCCCGCCCGAAGTCGCCCCACGCGGGGCCTCTGCTGTCCGGGCTTGCCCGGGAGGCTGGCGCCCGGAGCGTGACAAAGCCGTTGGGGGAGGGAGCCCGGGGCCCGCCGCCGCCGCCCCCTCCCCGCGTCCCCCGCCCGCGTCCCCCGCCCTCCTCCCGGGCGCCGCGCTCCCCCTGCCCCCAGCTTAGACGCTCGAGGTCTCAGAGCGAGTTCAGTGGGTTAAGGCGACTTTGCTCTCCTGTTTCCTTCCTCCCCTGCACAACCTCTCGCATTTGAAAGCCGCACAGGATTCCTAACCGCTGATTTCGAACCAGGGTGTTTGATGTCGTAGGCAAAGCATCGCTTCCTCTTTTAATCAGGAGAAACGGCAAACTCCGGGTGATCAGGGCCCTGCTGGTGTCACTGTGAGGCTTCCCTACTCTTAGATAACTCTCCCCCTTCTACCGTTCAACACCTGGGTTCACGTGCTGAGTCCACCATGCTAAAAATCCTTGCTCAAACTTTCATTTGAGGGAGTTTGCCCACCTGCTAGCCCCCTGTCCTCACCATACACACACACACACACACACACACACACACACACACATCCCTGTGAAATGGATGACGAGGGCGAAAGTTTCCCAAACTTGTGCAATGCCCAGTACTAGCGCTTTGTACAGGGGCTGGTTCAGAGAAGATGAGGTCTATTTTAACAGAGATGATGGAGATTTCTGCCAACAGGAAGATAGGAAGCTGGCGAGAGAGTTACTGGGCTAACAGACTCTGCTCTTAATAAATAATTACTCCTAGACAAGAAAAAAGGTGCTCAGAGCTCTAGAAACAGAGTTGCTCAGTGAGTCAGAGTCTATCACATTCGCTTCGTGTCCAGAGCCTCCCGGGAGAACAGCGGAAAGGCGCTCTCCCCCATTGGAAAGACTCCCGCTCCTCTCCCGCACCCCCCACGCCTCCATCTCTTTTTACTACTGGAAAAACCTCACAGTTATCTTAGTTATTAAATGGGAGGCTACGAATCGTCCCTACTTCATTGGGCTGTTGTGAGTTTTAAATGAATTGATGAACATATTTAGAACAGCGTGGCACATCTTAAGCTAATACCTTAGCTCTTAAATTTTACATTTTGAGGATTCTCTTATAGTCTTGTTGTGAGGCACAGAATAAAATGCTTTGAATAGAATTATGAATATTATATGAAAGGAAAGGCCAAGAAGACCCTAATCACTGAAAAGATAAAGGACACCCTCCACCGCCCTCATATTTAATGAAAAGTTAAACAGAACTAAGAACAAAAGAAAATCCAGCATGGTTCCAATTTTACCTGTGGTTATTATTTTTTCCTGTGGCTAATATATTTTTAAATATATATTATTTTTAAAAATTGGATCGCTCAGGCTTTGCTGATGCCTTAAAGCACATGCTTAATCTTTACTAGATAACACAGCCTACTCAAAATTTATGTTTCAGTCCCTGGTTGACTTCTCTTCAAGCCCCCAAAACACTTTCAAGTGCTGTTAGTTCAAGCAAAACATGGAGTTTTGAAATGATACCCACTGGGGAACCTGGGTGGCTCAGCCAATTAAGTGTCTGCCTTCACCTCAGGTCATGATCCCAGGGTCCTGGGATAGAGCCCCAAGTCTAGTCGGGCTTCCTGCTCAGTGGGGAGTCTGCCTCTCCCTCTGCCCCTCACCCTGCTCGCTTGTGCTCTCTCTTTCAAATAAATAAATAAAACCTTTAAAAAAATAAAATGAGGGGTGCCTGGGTGGCTCAGTGGGTTAAAGCCTCTGCCTTCAGCTCAGGTCATGATCTCAAGGTCCTGAGATCAAGCCCCGCATCAGGCTGTCTGCGCAGCAGGGAGCCTGCTTCCTCCTCTCTCTCTCTCTCTCTCTCTCTGCTTGCCTCTCAGCCTACTTGTGATCTCTGTCTGTCAAATAAATAAATAAATAAATAAATCTTTAAAAATAAACAAATAAATAAATAAAATGATGCCACTTAAGGGACATCTGGCTGCCTCTGTTGGTAGAGAATATGATTGTTGATTGCTAGCTTATGAGTTTGAGTCCCCATTGGGCTTAGAGATTACTTAAAAACAATTAAATGATGCCAGTTAAAACACTATGGGATGTAAAATCTGTTTTAAAAATATGAATTGTTGTACTTTCTACATTTTCTTCCAGGCACCTCCCAGTAATCTGGGCAACAATGGTGTGGGAAATTCAAACTGTGGTTGAGAACATAAAATTCTTTAACATAGCTTAAGGTATGGTATGACAGGGAAGGGGGAAATAGTGGTTGTGGTATTGGGAAGGAGGGAATAGATTTCCCTTATAATGTGTCTGGCTTTAAGACCGGTATCAATATTAGCTTCCATCACTAAAATAATGGCTCTTAATCTTGGAGCAGGGGGAGTAGGCCTTAGATAATCTGTTGAAAGCTATAGACCATCTCCTCAATAAATAAAGTATGCCATAATTTTTTAAACTAGTGTGTTCGGTTGCATATGTATTTTTATAAAGATTTATATGTTTATTTTAGAGAGAAAGAGCTCCCTCCAGCACAGGCAAGCAAGGGGTGAGGTGGGGCACAGGGAGAGGGAGAGAGAGAATCTCAAGCAGTTTCCTTGTTGAGCTGAGGGGAGAGGTGCTTGATCTCGTGACTCTGAGATCATGATTTGAGCTGAAATCAAGAGCCAGATTCTGAACTGACTGAGCCACCGAGGCAACCCTATTTGCACATGTATTTCTGAATATAACTTTCAGGGAATTCAGAAGTTCTTCGAAAACTCACCTATTGATTCCTATTTGAGAACTCATTAAACTCTTATGCAATATATTTGACTACTGTTGTTGAAGGAAATGCATGAGGGAACCAAATAAAACCACCCTTGGATGAATTATATACAGACATGGAGGCTGACTTTTTCCAAGAACAGGTTTTAGACAGGTATATCCTAGCTCTGACACCTGCAGTAGAGCTCCCAAAAGATTATGGCATCTTTGGGTGTGGCCCCTTAGTTCTAGAAATTGATCCCATACTGCATTAGAAATCTTGTGTAAATAAGTGGTTAATAATAATGTAAAACTTTCTTGGTTTTTCTTTTAAAGAACCTACCATACTCCCAACTCACTCTTCCATATCAGCTCAGACCTGAGGGCCAGTACCTTAGAAGAAATAAAATATATATCCCAGGATCCTGGTGCTGGTTATTCCAGCCTCAGATTGCCTGGGACTCATAATAGATTTCACAGGTTGATTAAATGAGATGATGAAGCCAAAGAACTTTATGAATCCTAAACTTTGTTCCATATTGATATTATCATTACCAATCTTAATTTTCCTCCTCCTTGAGAATGTCATGGCCTTATTTAGGTTTGTGCTCCCTTGGCAGTTTTGCAAATCTATGCTATGAAATTTTAACTTAGTTCAATTTTGATCTGTTTTTTAAGAAAAAGTGTAACACTCGTTCATTCATTCAACAAACTCAGAGGCTAAGAGTGGGGTGTGGTGGCATTGGGGTGTTAAACATATGGGTTCTAGAGTAGGGCTGCTTGAGTTCAAAACTGTACTTTTCATTTAAGGATCTATAACTTTGAACAAAGTTATTGCATCTAGGTTTGTTTTCCCATCCGTATATATGAGATAATAATAGTACTTGCTTCAAACTGTTGTTGTACATATTAAATTGGAATTACATGTAATGTGTGTTGAAGAGCAAAGGGAAGCAGAGGATGACACAAGAAAATGAAAAGGGAACCAAACTTCTGGTGGCTTGGGCAGAGGCTGCATGGATGCTGAAAGCAGACCCAAACCTTGGAGAGAGGCCTAGGAGTATGAAGACAATAAAAGGAGGAGAAAGATGTTCCAAGCAGAGGTGAGAGCATGTGAAAAGGCATAAAATTTGGGACCACTGAAAATCGTTCACTGGGATATATGGTAAGAAGCTGGAGATATAAACTCCTGGAAAAAGAGCCTTGCAAAGGAGCCTGGAAAGGGCAGCTCAGATTGTCAGAAGGAAAACCAGGGATGTATGGGATGGCAAGGAAGTGGGGGACACTATGTGGACTGTTTTTCCCCAGCTTAGCCGTGATAGTTCATAGCAATAGAGTGTGATGGGAGGTAGGTGGAAGGGTGGAGAGAACCTAAGCACTCACAAGAAAAGGTGCCAGGTGAAGAGAAGGACAGCTAGAAGGGAAAAAAAGGGCAGTTGAGGACCCAGGAAAGATAAGGTGTTTCTGAGGATCCGAGGTCCCTAAAAAGTCAGGAAGAAAAGGAATACAAGGCACAGGGGGTGGTCATAAATTTGGACACAGAAGATATAGCTAGATTTGAGAAAGGAGAAAAGGTCAGGGTGGGGAGGAAGTTGAAGCACTTCCTTTCATGAACGAAGAGGCTGGCTTGTTTGCAGTGAGGATAAGATGGTGGGTTAGGAAGTGAGAGTAAATGGCATATCTTTATCAGGGCTAGTATCCAAAATATATAAAGAACTTAGCAAATGCAATTACCCCCCAACAAAACAAACAAACAAACAAATAATCCACTTAAAAAATGGGCAGAAGAGTGGCGCCTGGGTGGCTCAGTGGGTTAAAGCCTCTGCCTTCGGCTCAGGTCATGATCCCAGGGTCCTGGGATCGAGCTCCGCATCGGGCTCTCTGCTCGGCAGCGAGCCTGCGTCCTCTTCTCTCTCTCTCTGCCTGCCTCTCTGCCTACTTGTGATCTCTACCTGTCAAATAAAATAAATAAAATCTTAAAAAAAAAAATGGGCAGAAGACATGAATAGCCATTTCTCCAAAGAAGACATATGGATGGCCACAGACACATGAAAAGATGCTCAACCTCACTCATCATCACGGAAATGCAAATCAAA